TTGTGCTAATAACTTTCTAAGCATTATTTCCTATCACTTGCTCATTTTGCCAGTATTAGGTGGATGGTGCAATCATGTCTACCTGATAGATGAAGAAAATCAGATTTTGTGAACTAAGTGATGTACACATTGTCTCCAAGCCATTTGATGGAGGAACTTAAATTAAAACCTTGAAGGCACCTGACTCCACGACCCTCACTCCTAACCAGGAAGTTCACCATTACATGAAGAAAATACCTTTGCCAGAAGCACAGCTTGACTTGCCTTCTGGCTTCTTGACTTTTAATAGACACCGGGAGAGAGCTCTTAGACATTCCGCACCACCTCATGCTAACACAGTGACTGTGGGTGAATTTCCACTGTTGAGATGTCAATATTTTCTAATAGAGCTACTTTTATTCTCCGTTGAGTAACACAAAGACAAGAGCTCCTGGAAAATGGAACTAAAAATATGAGCTCATTCTGGTGCAAATTTTTTAAATCCATGTATACTTTTTAAATAGTATGATTTTTCCACAAAATGTTTGAAGATCTCTGAAATGAATGAATAGCACTAATTTTACACCAAAATAAGTTAACCTTTTTAATTTCATGGTTCCAAAAACTGGGTTTTTTTTTCTTTTGTTTTATTTGAAAAAACTGGGAGACAGAGGTTTTTCATTTGCTGGTTCACTACCCAAGTAACTGTTACAGCCTTGGTCGGGATTGGTCAAAATCAGGAACTGAAAATTTTATCGGAGTCTTCCCCATTGATGACAAGGACCCAAGTAACTGTGCCATCACTTGCTGCCTTAGCAGAGAGCTAGAAGCTAGGGCAGAGCTAGAACTCCAACCCAGGAACTTCAGCATAGCATGCAGACCTCCCAATTAGCACCTTAACCACTGTGCCAAGTAGCTACCTTCTACTAGCTTCTTAAAGTGCCCTCACAAATAGCTATACAAATCGCTACTCTAGCAGAGCAGTAGTTTAAAGAAGTGCAACTTGGGCGAGAAAGGAGATACATGCAGAAAAGATGAGCTGTTCATTAGTTGACATGCTATAACTGTCCTGTTTTAATTGGCAAGAGATAAAAGCTCTGGGAGCAGAGTTAAAAATATGGTTCCAAATATTTCAACATATAAATGGCTCAGAGATAATTAAGATAGCACAGGACAGCAGTCTCTGGAGTCAGTTACAGCCATCTTGTGATATAATTGGTACCAGAGACACCCATTACTGCCTGGATGTCAGAATTATATCGTGTTTTCTTCTCTGTGGGATGAAAAGAGGCTGAGGTGTTCACAGGCATGGCTTCTATTGCCCCAACATCAAGCCAGGGGAGCTTGACTGTTGAGAACCTTGTAAAGCACAAGGAGGCAAACCTGTCAGGTGAGATGCACTTGGCTGCTGAAGGGACAGGGGGTTCCGGAAGTGGAGCCTGAGGTCAAGCAAGAGCTTCCCTTTGCGTTGAGTCCTGTGCTCCCACCATACCCCGCCAGGAGATCTCACCTCAACCCCAATGGTCAGTATGCCAAATGGGGCCCTAGCCAATGAAAATCCAGAATAATGAAAGAATTTTCTGGAAAGCTGCTTTTGCTCTCCTGTCATGAATATTTGGAACGTAAGAGAACTAGCAGAATGTAGAGTTATATTACAACACAGATCTAAAACTTTTTGTTCACAGCAGACATCTAAATGATCTAATTTGAGCTTTCAGGAAGGCTTTTCTGTATGTCAACAGCGCTCAGCTTCACCAACAAATGTGTACTAGGAGGAAACTGGAGTCAACAAAACCACTGTGTGTGCCTCCGTCAGCCTGCCTCCCAAATTATCAGAGCTTTTCCAGGAATTTGAATAATTAATACATTTTCTGGTGAATGGAACACAGGATTTTGATTTATTTATATGCATTCATACTGTTCTGTAAGTTGTAAGCAGGTGTTTCAATGAGTAAGAACTTCTGAAGTTAATCAGCACAGTAGTCATTCATTTTTTATTATGACCTTGACAGTGATAAAACACCCTGAAAACCTCCTTTCAACAAATTCATAAGAAAGTACTGTTAGATTTTCATATTACTTGTCTTGCTGACCCTGAGGTTTTGAACCAATCCCCATCGGTTTTCACATCTTCAGAGATTCTAATTTTATTTAGTAAATTTTTGTCATTTATATTGTAAACTTTTAAAATGAGCACTAGCCTAAGTGAATAAAATAGCATTCTGACTGTTGATATAAATTGAAAGAAAAATAGATATGTACTTATGTCAAAATCTATTTCCTTAAGTCAGTTTGCTAATTAAGATAATGAACGGACATAAAGAATGGAAATCAGGAACCAGGAGATTGAAAAGGTGTGGCCATGCCATCCCATGTTTACCAGTACAGAGCAGCAGTGGGACCAACTCCTCCCAAAGCCAAGGAGGAAAGTGCTTGCGACAAGGTCACTTTGGGAACATTCACTGTGGTTGTGACAGAATGTTCAGGCTCACGAACCTGCCAAGATGGTGGTGTGATTGGAGAGGAACATAGAGTAGAGACAGAAATTGCTAGAGAAATGTTTCCCAAGTTTATGATGCAAACCCAGCAGCTTCTTGCCTTGCCCATAAAAGGGAGCTTGTGCAAGATAAGGGAGTATTTTTAATTTAATAAGAGAACCTTCTTGGGGATGTTTAGACACCCATGATTTCAATCTGTGACCCTGTGCTGTCTTTATGATTCAATCCAAAAATTGTCCTTTTCTGCTTTCAGACTTTAAATGGAATCCGTATGGTTAGTGTATATCAACTCCACCTGTTTGTGCTGAATGTGTGTTCTGTGACAGAGCAGTGCTTATGCAATGATTTATGCCGGTACATGTACGAAACACATAAATTATAACTGCCCTGTAGTTATCAGTTCTTCTCGCTGCATTTACTGGATAACCATGGTGGCAGTTCTTCCTGTACAAGGATTTCTTGACTCTGTTAGCAAGACACATCTGTCTACAAAAATTTACCCATTTGTCATAATTGATCTTCATCCTTAAGCCTACTGGAAAGTCGTCTGAGGAAGATTATTTTGATAAGCACACACAAACAGAGATAATGGAACAAAGGAAACATATCCACTCCTGGGAGAGTACTCAGTGGTCTCTCCAAACCTTAAGGGAACAAGTGACCTTAATCTTTGCTGAGAGTCACTAGAGTGCATGCACTCTCCACGCTGCCAGATAACCGAAAAACAGCTACTTTCACTAGAAGCTCCTGCCACGACATCGCCAGTTACCACTGTGCTCTCTAGGGGGAGAATGAGAAGCACTGTTGTTAGGGCTTCTTTGTGAATCCTGCTCATATGTACATTTTTCATATCACTGGCATCCATAGAACAAGGTGGACAGCATCCTCGGAGTTGATGCAAACAGACAGACCTCTGTGATGCTGCTAGCTACCTGCCCCAGAAGTACAGGCTGGCTTCCGGTCATTCCACAGGAAATACAGCAAGGGCCTAGGCATTGGACCGGTTTAAAACATAAACTTATGGTTGTAAAAGCCGATGCTGCTTTAGTAAGCCCAGTGATTTTAAACACATGAATCCCACTTGCTAGAGAGTTCTCTACTTTCTCATTTGAAAACAAATGATCTACTTGAAAAGGCTTCTCACCAATTTGATTCATAGTTCCTTATAACCCTGAACTTGTTTTGATGCTGGACTTCAGATAAACATGGCTGATTATGTAATAAAAATAAAATTTGGCTTCTTCATACCAATACTATAAAATAGCTAACTACAAACAGCATTTACATTAATAATATATTACATCTAGAAAGTCAACTATATGATATATGTATAGCAGATTTCCCTTGCATGCTTAAAATATTCATGCACAGAAAAAGGCATTTACCAAGTGCGTATAATGTTATGATGGCAGGTGGGATTATGGAGGTATTTCTCTTCTTCATTTTTCTTTCCCATATTTCTGCAAGCATTTGATAATCAGCATGTGTTGCTTTCTTAAGAAGGGTGAATATTTTAAGGTTGCCTCCTAAGGGCTACAGTAACTGAAATGTTTAAAGTCTCCTGAATCTGCACACTAAAAGTCCAAATGATGCTCTCTACAATGTTAGCTTCTGCCTTCAAGTGGCTATTTGAAAATGTTTAAGAGAAAACAAATTCATTCAGATATTCAGCACACTGGACTGACCTTGAGTTTCAACAGCCACAGAATGTTCTGTCCGTCAGTCCCCGTGCAGAGTAGGCTAACAAATGCCTGGTCCCCAGCAGTTCCTCTTGTGCACCTTACTTACCTGCAACCCAATGAGTGCACAGTGAGGGACAGGTCCAAGCCCACCTCCAGACCACTGCTACCATCATCCTAAAAACTAATGCTTTCCAAGCAGGACGCAAATGAATTCTGTTCATGTACACCAGGGACATGTCTCAAAAGTTAGCATGAGGAATATGGGAATAGGCTGTGGACACAGACAATCAGGAGAAGTTCCCCTAGCCCATCATGGGTTATGTCTAAGTCATGCAAAAATATCAGGTGGTGCAGGGACAACACAAAGTAGGGAGAGCTCTCTTCTTGGGAAACCCAGAAACGTTTCTCATAGGTAATGTGCTTGAACTGAGTCTTCGTCTTTGTGCATTCAAATTCATAAATCAGCACTTGCTCTCTGAGCTTCTCAGCTTTCTTCAGACCCTCGAAGAAGAAAAGTCAGACCCTGTTTTGGAAACACAGTCGATACCTAGCTGAAGATTATTTTGACTTGGACTAGTAAGAAGTATTCAACTCTCTGTACTGGACTAACTTTCTGATTTTTCAAGCCTGGTTATATCCATTTGAAATAACTTTAAATCTTCAAATGAAACACTGTATAATTGTAAGAGTTAGTCATTCATTTCATTTTGGACTATAGAAAAGCAAATAAAACTTTCAAAGGAGCGATTATCTTCATACAGATGTTTTTTAAAATGTTAAACACAACTTCAAACCCTTTGGCACCCCCTTCCAAATAAATTATGTTCCTGCATATTCACAGATGCAATGCTTCTGGTGGCAGAGCGACTGGAAGGGCCCTTCAACATCGAGTCGGTAATGGACCCCATAGACGTCAAGATTTCTGAAGCCATTATGAACATGCAAGAAAACAGCATTCAGGTGTCTGCCAAGGTATTTGCATTAATGACATATTTCCTATTACATACCTAACAGAGGCACAGAAACCTAAGATGTAGTAGATGGGTATGCCTGCTAAGACTGTAAATTCCAATATACTGCCAGCAAACTTTTCCTATGAGCCACAAATTTGCTACTTCATTAAAAATGTCTAACAGAATGGCATTGAGAAGGGAAACAATCTTTTAGTTCACAACTACTCAATCATGAAAAAATGACTGGCTGCCAAAAAGGTGCAGTGAGCCCAAGCATGATGACTAATCCCTGCCATTTGTGAGCAATTCAGGTGGGAATTTTCCTTTTTTAAATGTTTCAAATTTTTGCACACCCTCTCCCACTTTCTCTTTCTCTCTCACTCTCTCGTAACCTTGTAACTTCTAATTATAACTTCAGCTGTGCAGTCCAGCCACATGTTCTGTGAGTTCAATGGTAAATGATTAAACATTCCCTCTGATTTCCTTGTAAGAGTATGGTATAACCTTCATTAATGAATCTTCAGGAGAAAATGCTCCTTTGTGTGAGGTCAAACATACCTTACAAGGAAGGCAGCACATTTTGATAAATCCCTGGAGACAGCGCTCTTAGGGCTGCAGCTGCAGAACGCATATACCACGTGCAGGGTTTTCTCTGTCTCCACCCATGGGAGGATAAACAGGACCCATCTGAAGCAAAAGTGAGAAATTTTCAGGATCTCGACTTTAGACTTGCATCACTCGCCTTTTCTCCATGTCACTGACTGTACAATGCCCATCTGTTCTCCCTGCCATGTAAAATGAACCAAATCTACATGGGTCTTTAGGCCTAGTGACTGAGTGATTGCATTTTAATTGAAAGTTACTCTCACTAAAACACATCAGGCAAAAAGTTGCATGATTAGCTTTGTTCGCTTTTTTTAAAATCCTTTGTGAAAGACATTTCAAATAGAATAGAGGAAAGGAAGCGATCACGGGGTAGAAAGAGAGCTGCGGAATCCCCCTAGATCTCTTTGGCTGAGCACACATCAAACTAGATTTGGCCTCTTCGGGGTGAAATGGCAGGAAGTAGGGTAAGAAAGAACCTGGATTGCACTCCATTCTCATTCTCGCTCTCTCCCTCGGCTTTTCCTTCTTCCTCTCTCTTCCCCTGGGAGATGAAAGAGCTGAGAACTTCCTAGAACTGCTTCTGGGTTTTGGCAAGTTTGGGGTAGCCTCTGCAAAAGAGGATGCTCCAAGTTACCATCACCTGCTAGAGAAATGGCATATTTGGCATTTCAAGAAAACAGAATACAGCAATCGTCTTTTCCTCTTGAATCTACTGTCAGTGAATGTTGTTTTAAGAAGACAAATATCCCGGCAGTGCTTGAGTACCTCGGCACAAAGTTTGCCGAAGTTAAAAGTGCCCTTGAGAGCGAGACATGAAAAACATGTCAACAAAAGTATCCATGGCCAGGAAACATCACATTTCTGCGTCTACATATCCATTCCGGTAAAGTCTTCTTTTTCTGTTTTCATCCATTCATTCAGCAAAGTAAGTACTGCGAGTCCACATGGCAGACACAGTTCTAGATACGGGCAGTAGAGAAGTTCACATGTTGTTCCACCCTCATCTAACTTACTTCCCAATAGGAGAGCCAGACTTTGAACAGCTAGCCCATTATGTAAATTAACAGGCTGAGTGCAACAGAGGACAAGAATAGACAAAATGCAGAAGCTCCTTTGGACAGCAGGTACTTTGCATGGTGTTTATTCTCAAGAACGCTTCATTCTTAGAAAGAAGCAGCTAGCTGTGTTCCTGCATCCACTCTTGAGCCCCATCATCTTTCCTTCATCCAGCAACCAAGTATTACTGAAGAGAAGCAGGATGATGCTCCCTGCTTGGCCTTTCCAAGGCTCCTTCCCTACTTACAGTGGAACCAAGGTGTTGGATCCACTTACAGTTTGGCAAGGTGTTGTATTAACTCATCTCTCCCTACCGGGAGCCTTCCTACAGGTCACCTGACCTTTGGTTCCTTGCACAGCCATGTAGATTGAGTATATATGTGGCTTCCTTTGCTTGCAATGCCTCTCCTTCCTTTCCCTCTTGAGTGGGTCTCCCTTGTGATTCACTATAGTAAAAATCTATCACAGTATCTACTGCAGACTGAAAATAAAGTTTGCTTGGCACTTGCTTTCTCATAGTCTCGGAAAGCCCATGTGGGACTGGAATTGCTGCTGCAGACTTAAAACCTGCTACATCAGTCGGCCCACAGAAATCTTAGGCAAAAATTTGTTAAATTTTTAAAAGTACTAGTGAGTGAGCACCAGATAACTTTTAAGAAAACAATTTATTGTAAAAAGTCAGTTACCTATTTGAAAGTAGTGAGGTGGGCATTTGGTGTAGCCACATCTTGCAGTGGAGTTCCTGAACTGGAATCGTTCAGATCCTGGTTCCAACTCCTTGTGAATGCACAGCCTGGAGGCCCCAGATGAGGGTCCAAGCAGTGCGGTCCCTGCGACTCACCTGAGAGTCCCACACTGAATTCTTAGCTCCTGCCTTTGGCCTCGGCTGGCCCCAGTCATGGTGGATGTTCAGGAAAAAAACGAGCAGGTACAGATCTCTTTTTCTTATTTCTCTCATTCTCTGTCTCTTTGTTTCTCTACATTTTTAAATTTAAAAAGTAAATATCTTGAAATTCATTTTTAAGTTGAAAAATAAAAGTTATATTTATGTACCAGTGAGTATGGCGTACAACACAATGTTTTGGAATAGGTATAGCTCAACGGAATGACTGAACCAAGCTATCAGACATGTATTGCACCTCACATTCTCACCACTTTCCGTGGTGAGCACACTTGAAGCACCAACAGTTTTAAGCATATGACACATCGTCAGTAACTACAGTTCAAATCAAGTGTTTTGCTAACAATGATCCCAGAGATCAGATAATTTCATTTTATTATCGGCATTTGAATGACATTTTTATGAAATTTGACCAACAACATAGTGTTGTTATTAATAAAGAATGTTCTTTGAAATGACACATTTCTTTGCAGGAAATGCCAAAATCAGAAGTAGAAATGGTAGAAATAACAGACAGTAGTAGGAGATAGAATCTGGACCACACTCACATGATGGAATTCAGTATATGGGCCATTAAATAATCTTAAAATAAATTCCCAATGGGCATAGGAACAGGAAGGGAGTAGCTGGGTTCCTTAGGGGACAGGGCTGAGGTGTAGAGTCTGAAGGTACCCAGTGAGGGGTGCCCACAGCCAGCCTTTCGGATTGCAGAGGGGTAAAGGCAGCTGGAAGTTGCACAAACTGAGCAGTAACTCACCAAGAGAATTTGCTATGGATTTATTCTGAAAAGGAGCTTTGCTTCATAAAGGTAATGGAATGTAATTTTAATTTAGAAATAATGTGGTTTTGCTAGAATGTTCTCGTTCTAGAGCCTAAATCCATATTTCAGTGAAGATCTGGGTGACTGGGGTGCTAGATACATCCTTTTCAAAGGAACCCTCGATCATTGTGGATGAACAATCTTAGTCAGACTTCAAGTTCTGGACCTCCAGACATAAGCTGAAGAATTCATAGAATCAGAAATGGTGTTGGCTTCTGATGGGAGATTTCTGTAGCTAGAAGCTATTTATTATCTAACTCTGGGGGGAGCTATAAAGCTCACAAATTCATATGATATTTTACTTTAGGATGTGATTGACAACTTTTATAAATTTTATTCAACCAGTTAGAAGAAAGCAGTGATCATTTAAACAATTTTATTAAAGTCAATAAAAGCCATTCTTAGAGTCTCTTAGAGTATTTATCATATATATTTAATGCTAACTGCTTAGGACTGAATTAGATTCTTTCCATGATTTACATTATGTAATATTTGTGTCAGTGCTTATGAGAGCATGCCTCTCATGGGATGAAAAAACAAAGACTTAGGAATGTTACTTATCAAGGTGTCGTGGCATGAATGTTAGAAGAGTGTCTGATTCCCAAACCCATCCTACTAGTTGGCTACAGCCATCTGGGATGTGGGTGCCTACCAAGTGAGCCAGTCAATATTGCCTACACAGAGCAAGCCTTGAAAGAAAGCTCAATAGCCAGCCCTCCATGGGACCTGCCTGGGAAGACTAGAAGGACAGAGTCAGGAGAACTCACACTGTCATGGTTTTAATCTGACTTCCTCTACAGCTTCCCTAGTCCTGCTTCCCAGCATAACAAATTCTAATTAAATATTTTCTAATCCAGCCCAATCATTCATTTCTCCCACTCTTCCTAGATTTTTAATAGCAAAAATGATTACTTTTTCTCCCTTCTGTATCTAAAAGCAAAAGATGAACCTACCATAGTTTAGATGTGAAATCCCTTTCCCCAAATGCTGTCATCATCTCTAGAGGATGGAACAGCTAATCTTTTTGTACCTAGTAATAGAGATCATAGATTAGTAGGATTTACAGACTAATGGAAAAATCTACCCTCACCGTAGTTTCATATTCCAGTCTAAGATTTGACTTTACAAGTATTATCATATACTTACACACACACACTTTGTGAAGGACTGGGGATATAACATATTAAATTTTTTCTTGGTTCCCTTCAAGCAAAGAATTGGTAATAATAATCATCATGGTTTCCACTGGCTGAACACCGACAGTGTCCATTCAACAAACACTCTCCTGAGAGCCCAACTGAGGAATAAAGTAAAAAAAAAAACAAGTGTCCTTGCTCGTGTGCCAGCCTCACTGCACTCTGGCAAAACATCATTTCCTTATTTTGTAGGAAGGAATGTTAATCATAGGGAGATAAATAGGTAGCATGAGGTCGAACAGTAAACTAGAGGCAGAACTGGGACAGGCAACCCAGACCTGTCCAAACCCAAAGTAAACGGTTTTCCCAGCTGGCCACACTGTCTCCAAACAGCACCAGCTTACTTCAACACTAGGGAACCAGCCACATCAGGGGTGCCTGTTGCCTACAGCATACTACAGGCAACCCATTGGTAAGAAACACATCCTTGACGCTCCAAG